TAATTTTGCGGGTAACCTGCGGGACCCACGGGTTATATTTTTTTTAACAGAATAATTATTTAATTTAGTTTTTATTAAAAATAATAAAATTCTATATTTATAATAAAAAGTATATATTTTAAATTTTTTAAATTCTTATTTTTTTAAATCACTGTATTTGTAGAATATTTATTTATTTTTACAAAAAACACTTTTTCTAACAAAAAACCCAATTCAAAAAAAAAATGCAAAAATAATTTGCGGGTTGGTGGGTACCCGCGATTCAAAATCCACCAACCCCCATCCGCCCCACATAAAATACTCATAACCCGCACCCACCAATCAATTTTTTTTCAAATCTTTCCACCCGCACCCGCCCTGCAGCGGGTCAAACGGGGTGGGACCCGTGGGTGATGACTCCGATTCCCAACTCTACTTACATCATAAGCATTTGAGATTTGGATCTCACCTATAACAAAAAAATAAATAATAAGGATTTGAGTAACTTCTTCTGACATAAAACATAAAAATGAAGGAATGATCAAAACATTGAGTTAGTAGAAACATACTTCTAACTATATAAACAATGGTTATTTAGTACAAAATCGAAACAAAAGATTTCATTTTCAAGGAATACCTCTATATTGCCTAATCTAGCAAATCATAGAAGACATATCACCACACCTTCTGTTTCTTGGCTAGTTGTATGAAGATTCTCAACAAATTTATCCCAAAGATAGCAAGTTAATCTCTGACCACTAATAGAATTGCATATCAAGTTATAAATCAATATGTTTATAGGCCTATATCTTTTATATTAAATATATAAAACTTACGAAATGAAGATATATAAATCATAAATCTATATAAAATGATAAACTTACATTCGCATAAAAAAGAATTAGTTCCATGGTCTCCCCTATGTCTTTCATGAAATGTCTCCATGTAGGAAATATTTTGACTTGGATGCGACATGCAGTCTTCCTCGGTTTTATATCGCTCAAGAAAGACAACTGCAAATTATTCGCCATTTTGAAGGATTGATGAATATAGTGGTTAAGAGAGGCTATACTTATAATAGGTAGGGACGATATATATTTAGGTTACGCAAATGTAGGACAGAATATTTAGACGATTTTAAAAAATATCTCTTTCGAAGAATAAGAAATATTTCTTGAAGATATTTTGAATTAGATAGGAAATTTAAAGTTTAACAGTTAATGGTAATCTAACTACAGTAAGTTACCGAAATTGATGGAATCCAACCAAAGAATAACTAACCACGATATTGATTGTGGTTAATCGATAAACTTGTAGATGAAACAATTTATTTATTTTAGTAGGAAGATAATTATAGAAAATAGTTTTTACAATATTTTCTTAACAAAACGCATCGTCCATTAAATGTCATCATGAGAATGAAGATAGATCGACATATGAAGAAAAAACATGAAATGAAGGACATTTGGATGAATTTTCCATTCTCAAATGTCTTGGAATGGAAAAAAACATAAAATGAAGGACATTTCAATGGATTCTTCATTTCCTTATGAAGTAAGTAATTTGAAAAAGAAAGAACAAATAGGAATGAATTTTATCTTAACTGATGTAAAGATAAATATTTAGTTTCGTTTCTTCTTTTATTAAAAAGGTTGTATATATGTATAATTATGTAATTAATTTGTTTTATGCAGAAAATTATGGTCTTCTTGTGAGACCATTAAAAGCAAGAAATAAGACTCCAAATTATATATCATATTGAATATCATATATTTGAAATGAAATTATAAAAAATCTTCTTAATGATTGTTTCTTCTTCATGTCTGTTACAGCATGTATTAATATAAGTTATTATCGTAAACAGTTATTCATACAATCGATATTCAGAAACATAATTTTATCAAGCACATATATTTTTGTGGCTATAAGAATCAAAGGAGGATAAAATTGTATAAGGTATTAATAGTTTCATTACCTCAAAATTAGATGATAAAATTCTGATATATAATGTTTTCTATTACCTAAACAACTAAGATTATTTCCGATTCACGTATATACATCTATAAATTTTGTTCTAAAATAGAGAAATTCTATTACAGAGGTGGATTTGCTTCAATATATGATTATGTAATATAGTTCCTATATTTTTAGAGAAAAAGATGTGTTACTTTTGTTTTTAAATATAGAGATGAGAAAAATATTTGTATAAAAATTACATGTATTATATAACTTGATGATGAACATATAACTTGATAATATTTTTATAAAAATCATAATAGAGTAATATTAAATATTAATTCCATTCTCATTTTAAATTAAAATTTTCATTATGAGAATATGTCATTAATAAATGATGAATTAACAAAATAATTTAAAATCGATTAAACAACTTTATTATTACTAGAAAATGCTAAGCAAGTAATTTAAAATAATAATATAACACACATAGAAAAAACTAAAAATCTAAAACGGAATACCAATTTAGATATTTTCTTCAAACAAAAATATCATAGCATTTAGGCTTAAACTTACTGATTATTGTTTAGGATTTAGTATTTTGGAGGTGGAATTGAGTTTATAAGGGTTTCAAATGATATATATTGTATTGAATGTCGTATGTTTAAAATTAAATTTGAATTCTTAGTTACCTTCAAGATTGTGTTTTCTTCAGCCTTATTACAACATATAATACAATTATTTATTTATTTATTTTAAAATTTATCATCACAAAAATATAGATTTTTTCACGAAACTATAACTTTTTTTTAACACCTCACAAAATTTTCATATAAACAGTTATTCACATCATTAATTTTCATAAATATGGTCTTCAACATTCAACATGCATATAAATTTTGACTTTTAAGACTTATCACCACAAAAATATAGACTTTTTCACGAAACTATAATTAAGAAATTATGTTTTTATAAACAATTAGTTACACAACTAAAATTCATAAATATGGTATTCAACATGCACATAAATTATGTGGCTATAAAATGCATATATGGTCTTCAACATGCACACAAATTTTTGTGGTTATAAGATGCATGTATTAATAATTTAATTACATGATAAAAATAAGAACCCAAAATAATTTCTTTTGGTTGAACATTTAAAAGTCATAGATCATGCAAACCAAAATATATAAATAATAATAAATAAAACGAAATGTTTCAAACACTCTATAATGACAATACAAACTTCACGACTAAGAAACATTATAATGTATTTAAACGAGAAGAATAACAAATAATAAATTAGTACAAAAAATAATTAGCACTTACGAAAGAGTATGATGTTTTCATTGACTTGATTAACCTTATTTAACTTTCAAAATTTTATTTCACTCTGATTTTTATTTCGGACTGAATTCGGTTTAAATTTTTAAATATGATTATTTTTTCTAATACTAAATACATATATTAACCGGAATTTATGTGGAAAAATAAGTTCTAAATTCTCAGATAAATCTTATATAGATATGCAAAAGAAATGCTAAAACTATAACAAATGATTTTATTATTTTTATGTTTTATATAAAATTAAAACATTAAACAAAATCCGTACAACGCATGGATCTGTATCTAGTTAATAATGAAACAAGCAATAAAAGTATTTTTCTCACTTTTATTATTAATTTTTGAAATATATTTTGTTAATCACCTACCTCAAAACTTAAGAAATTATCTAAATATAATGCAGCTTATATGATGTTACTAGGAATTTAATCATTTGAAAAATCATACAATGTAAATCTCAATTTCTTTACGATAAATAAAGAAGTCTAAACCCAAAATAAGTAAATGAGTTAAATCATATACATCTGAAAAAAGCACGGCTAAGAAACTTCTCGACCAAAAATAAAAGAAAAGAAACTTCTGGACCACGAGCATCACACGTTTTTTCGTGTATACATAGTTTTGGTCGAATATAGATTTCAAGAGTTTACGTAAGAGTTGGGACTGTGCTGAGGATCTAGCAACTTGGACTAAGTAACTTCCAGACCACGACCGTCATCAATTTGAGTGTCTTAGCTGTCTCACCACTACATCAAATGTTTGAGTCAGTCAGTCATAATCATGATTTACCCAACAACTATTTTATTCCTTCAACGTGGCAGCTCTCTTGTTCCTCTACTTTAAATTTTGAATCGATCAATTAGTTTTCTAATAAAAACAAATACGATATGGATCCATATCCTATTCTTAACCACTGTACATTTACTATGAATATTCGTTATTCTATTATTAAAACAGAGGTGAACTGAATAATCGGATTGAAATAAAACAAACATTAAAACAAAATATCACAATAAAAAAATCTAACAATCTTAATTAAAAATTAGATTTTGATCCGCGCTTGAGAAGCGCGGGAAGCCACAAACAACACAACTACACAAGCCACAATAATAGTTGGGAATAAGAATAATAGAATCAAGATAATTGAACTATAAAAATGCAAAACTACGGTAGATGTATCAAGAATCACCAATAAACTTAAAACGAAGAGATTACCATATTCTAATTAACTTTTTTTAAAACATCTTTTTACTTTCTGTTTTTTTTTGTAACAGTTCTATCTTTTGTTATAACAGAATCTCTTGGTTCTATAATAGAAACCCTTTTTTCTCTGTCAAGGTCGGTCTACGCCGGTGGTAAAAAAAGTATCCAACTCCCAAATGCAGCTTTTTGATAGCAAAGATCCAATTTAATTTGAAAAAAAAATAATGCTAAACATGTTTTTAGTTAAAAAAGACACATTACTTTAAAAAACCGCGTGAACTCCAAAGCCAATTGAATACAGCTTTTAATACAAAGATGGCCCAATCTCCAGCTGTTGCCTCACAAACCGCGGCTTCCCTTTTCACCATACGAACCTTCCTCTTAAGCCTTTGCTAGTTACTAGTAGTAGTCTACTTACTATATATACATTCTTCCATAAACCCTCTGAGCAACAAAACCACAAACGCAACACAACTACACAAGATAAAACTAAAAAAGACAATAAAGCTCTCAAAATGGCAAACAAATACTTATTTCCTCTGTTTCTTTCTCTTATAGTCATCTCTTCTGTTTCAGCTAACTTTCAAAGAGACGTTGAGATCACTTGGGGAGATGGTCGTGGACAGATCACGAACGATGGAGAGCTTCTCACTTTGTCTCTAGACAAATCCTCTGGCTCTGGTGTCCAATCCAAGAACGAGTACTTGTTCGGCAAAATCGACATGCAGATGAAACTCGTCCCTGGTAACTCCGCAGGAACAGTCACAACACTCTACGTAAGTTACATCACAAACAATCTTCATTATATTACAGAACATTTTGAAGTTCTTGTTTCTAAAATGAATTTTTTTATTTTGTTACAGCTGAAGTCACCTGGAACAACATGGGACGAGATTGACTTCGAGTTCTTAGGGAACCTAAGTGGAGATCCTTACACACTCCACACAAATGTATACACACAAGGAAAAGGAGACAAAGAACAGCAGTTCAAACTCTGGTTCGACCCAACAGCTGACTTCCACACGTACACCATTATATGGAACCCACAACGAATCATTTTCACAGTCGATGGAACTCCCATTAGAGAATTCAAGAACATGGAATCTATTGGCACTCTCTTTCCCAAGAACCGACCTATGAGAATGTATTCGAGTCTTTGGAACGCTGATGATTGGGCCACCAGAGGTGGTTTGGTCAAAACCGATTGGTCTAAAGCTCCTTTCANCCATTATATGGAACCCACAACGAATCATTTTCACAGTCGATGGAACTCCCATTAGAGAATTCAAGAACATGGAATCTATTGGCACTCTCTTTCCCAAGAACCGACCTATGAGAATGTATTCGAGTCTTTGGAACGCTGATGATTGGGCCACCAGAGGTGGTTTGGTCAAAACCGATTGGTCTAAAGCTCCTTTCACTGCCTCTTACCGTGGCTTCAACCAAGAAGCTTGTGTTTGGTCAAACGGCAAGTCTTCTTGTCCTAATGGCTCGGGACAGGGGACCAGTGGCTCGTGGCTGTCTCAGGAGCTTGACTCAACTGCTCAAGAAAGGATGAGATGGGTGCAGAAGAACTACATGATCTACAACTATTGTACGGATTCGAAGAGATTCCCTCAAGGTCTTCCAAAAGAGTGCTTAGCTTCCTAGAGAGTAAAGAGTGAGAGAAGAACAAAGTACTAATTTTCTTTTTGTTATAAAAATTTATTAATTTTAGTGTAAATCACATGAATTCTATTAATTTGTTCAAGTAATATATTATTCTCTTCACGGTATATTTTTAACTTAATATCTGTCTTTTTACATGCTACTTTGTGCCCTCTTCATTTGCATGATTAGCCTTGCGTTATTATTTTACATATAACATACATTTCTCTAATAATGTATATATCAATAAATAACCAAAATTTCTGGATTGTCTAGTAGTGATTTTGAGGTTATATGTTCAACATGTCAAAAGCGAAAGACCTCATAACTCCATTCGAACATGCTATGCTCTTTCAAGGTGTAGAAGTGAAATAAGGAGGAAGCAAAGTTTTGTTATGGTAGACTTGGTTTCTATTGTTTTTCAATTGTCATAGAAGTCCTGAACCGTACGTCGATAATGTCTCATAGGTCTGAATCAGTCTAGAAATTCTGATTTAATATATCAATGGTTGTTTGAATCCAGAACACAAGAGAACCAATCCTCTTTTACTATCGCTAGACTACCAACACCTTAATTACAAAGTGTCATTTTAGCTCCAAAAAATATGGATTTATATGTTTATAACCTTGTAGTAATTAAAAAAAAACTATTTGTATATTTACTCTTCTATTTGATTCATCTTTCTTTCCTATGCCAAATAATTTGGATGAGCTTAGTTTATGAACTAACGAAAAAAAATATAAAAGAACAAACCACCATATCTGAATTTGTCACATAAACACAAAATATTAAAGAGAAGTGTTATAATACTGTAACATTAAAAAAAAATCATCAATAATTGTAAATTGGCATGCTCTTGAAATAGATAAACAAAATGCAATGTTTTTGTATGTACGTAATATAAAATGTAGAAACTCATTAGAATTAATCTTATATATTAAATTAAAAATAATAGTTCATGTTATAGTTTGAGGATTTGTTTTGCATATGTTGTGTGGGATTTATTTTAGAAATTATTTTTTTTTGCCATAAAGTTCCGGTTAGTATTTGTATTTAATCAACACAGATTTTATTTGATGTTTTAATTTTAAAAAGAACATAAATAATAAATTATTTAATATTTTAGGATTATTTTTGTATATGTTGTATGAGATATTTCAGAATTTAAAATTTGTTTACCCATATAAATTGTTGTTAATATTTATATTTTAATAATCATGACATATAGTGCATTTGTTTTTTATTTTATACTTAAAGCCAGAGAAAATACTCATACCTAAAAGTTTAAACCAAGTTAAATTCAAATTAAGAATTAGAATGAAATAAAACAAAACTGAAAGTTAAATAAAGTCAATCAAGTTAATGACAATATCATACACTTGTTATGTACCAATTCAATGTTTGTTTTATTTTACATTAAATATGCTATTCTTATTGTTTAAATATATTCTGATGTTTATTGGTCATTTTAGCAAAATTTTGTTTTGTCACTGTAAGATTTTTCAAGTTTTTATGCATTTGTGACCATCAATATTTTTTGGTTATTTGATTTTGAATTTTTAATTATTCAAACATATAAATAATTTTGATCATCACTTTTATCATGTAATTAGTGATAATAAAACCATCAGTACATGTATCTTATAGCCACAAATATCTATGTGCATGTTGAAGACTCTAAATAACGATTGTGTGAATAATCATTTATAATAAAACATAATTTCTTACCATCGTTTTTATGAAGACAAAAACTATAATTTTGTGATGATAAATCTTAAAATAAATAAATAAATTATTTTATTATATATTGTAATAAAGTTAAAGAAGACGATCTTAGAGATAATTAAGAAGTTCTTCTAATTTCATTTTAACTATGTGACATTTAATATCATATATATCATTTAGAATTTTTATATAACTTTATAAATTTAATTTCATCCCTTAAATATTAAATCCTAAACACTAAATCATAAATTCAGATGTTATACGCTTTTTATGTAGTATTAAAAATGATATTTAAGTTATAGTATTTCAAACAATTTCTTTAATATTTTTTTCCAGTTTTTGAATTTATAACTTTTCCTATGTTTACTTAATTTATAGTTATTTTCAAATTACCATTTCCAACTAACAATAAGACCGTTTTATTAAAATTGTCTGTTATTAAATAATTTTCTGAACTCATTTTAATTATATATTTTCATAATAACATTTTAATAAAATGAACTAGAAATAATATATATATTAAAACACAGATGTAATAAGATGACGATAAAACTTGATTTAATTTTGACTAAATACATATAAAGATCATTAACAGTGATAATAATAATAATCTATTTTTATGACTAAACACAAAAATACCAAATATGTGTTTGATTTTTGTATGATCAAACACATACTAAAACCAATATAAAGACTAATCACGACATACTTCTTTTTTTTTTGTTAAATAAATTGTTTTAGTATCATGTTTATCATCAAAAATTTTATGTTTTAAATTACTGTTAAATAATTTTTTACAATTTTCATTTTCTTATAATTTTAAAAAAGAAAAAATTATATTCTATAAAGTTTTTTATTTATAACTTAAAAACAAAAATAATATCAAATACTATTTTACATTTTTGTTTAAGATTTTAGAAAATAAAGACTACTATCATACAATCATTTAGAGTTATCTTATATTTAGAATTCTCAGAAATTAGATTACTATCAAATAATTATTTCAATACTAGTAAATGATTTTAAAACTACTATTTTACCATTCGTATCACTACTATTTTTACAGTTAGTTTTTTTTAATTAAATAACTTAGCAATCAGGCATAAGCACAATGGCACATATAAATAACAAATTGACAATGACATTAATTTACCTACAAAAACATAATTATTTTATAGTATCAATAAAAACAAACACACATAAACATAATGGACACATTAACTTACGTACAATATCAAAATACTACATACAAACATCTAACTATCTAAATATAAGTGTTGCAATAACAAACATATGACAGCATGAAAAATCATCATCAGTTTAAACATAAAAGAACATAAAAAATATTTGAAATAATGATTCCACAAATATTATTTTTTTAGGATTTGAAAAAAAAGGAAAGCTACTATTAAATATTTTTTTTATAATTTGTTTTATGTTCAAGATTTTAGAAAATGATAATTACTATCAAATATGTTTTCCAATTACCTTTTCTTCGGGATTGCGCAAATTATTTTTATTAAAATTCTGTAAAATAAAATGATTTAGAAAAATTGCTATTAAATAAATTCTAAAAATTCTAAAATCACTTTCATTATCTTTGTATAGATATTTTTTAATAATGTAACATATATAAAAATTTTAAATGGAAAACTACTATCAAATAATATTTTACAGTAATTATTTCTTTAGGATTTTAGAAAAGCCAATTAGTAATTAATAATTTATTTTATGAATTTTTTTTAGGATTTGTAAAAAGGAAAACCACAATTAAACACTATTTTATACTTATAAAATATTTAAAATTAATATGTTAAAAATTCCTTCTTATTATTTTAAATATTTTTTTCAGGATTTGTGAAAAGAAAATTACAAATAAACACTTTTAACTTCTTTTGTTTTTACTTTTATTTTCTTTTTAAATTAATATCTTCAAAATTTTTTTTTATTATCTTAGTATATATATTAAAAATTATCATCAGTTAAAAAATTTAGGATTTGAAAAATGGAAAACGACTAGTAAAATTATTTCATAATTTTCTTATATTCAAGATTTTAGAAACGAAAAATTACTATAAAATAATTTTTAATTACCTTTTCTTCAGGATTTTGGAAAAGAAAAATTAAAAGCAAATAAATTATTTTGCAAATTTTTTTTGTTCAAAACTTTTTAAAAGAACATGGTTTAGAAAAATTGCTATTTAATTTTTTTTTAAATTACTTTTAGTAGTAAAAATCATTTTCATTATCTTTGTATATATATTGTTAATCATGATATATTTTAACATATATAAAAATTTCAAATGGGAACTTACTATCAAATAATATTTTATAGGATTTTAGAAAATGAAAATTGGTAATAAATAAATTATTTTACGAATATGTTTTTGTTTTGGGTTTGTAAAAAAGGAAAACTACAGTCAAACTCTCTTTACTTTTTTTTTTTAATTTGAAACCATATTTAAAATTATTATTTTAAAAATTCGTTTTTATGATTTCAAATATTTTTATTTGGTATTTGTAAAAGGGAAACTACAATTAAAAACGTTTAACTTTTTTTTTTAACTTAAGAAAAAAAATTAATTTAATATCTTCAAATTTCATTTTTATACATGTGATAATAGTTAAAAGAAAATTATTATCAAATATTTTGTTTGTAAATATATTTTATTTAGGATTTAAAATGTAAAATTACTAGTACATAAGATTCTAAATTATTTTTTAACAAAATTTGTTTTTGTCATTATCTAAATAATTATAGATTAATTATGAGATAATTTAATGCATGTTACAATTTTAAATATATAATTACCATGTGTTATAATCTTGTTGATTAGTAATTTTATAAAATTAAGCTTTATATAATAAAATTGCTACAAATATATATATATTGTATTTGTTAATCTTTTTTCACCTAGAACTTTAGAAACGATCTAAATACAGTGTAGCTTATATGATGTTACAAGGAGTTTAATTAATTGAAAAATCATACATGTAGATTTAATAATTTTTTAAAAAATAAGTAAAGAATTCTAAACCCAAAATTAATAAATGAGTTAAATCGCATACATCTGAAAATCATGACTAAGAAACTCCCGGACCATCACACGTGTTTTTCGTGTAGTTTTGGTCGAATTCAGATTTCTAGAGTCTGCGTAAGAGTTGGGACTGCGCTGAGGATCTAGCAACTTGGACTAAGAAACTTCTCGGGACCACGACCGTCATGAACTTGAGTGTCTTAGCTGTCTCCACCACTACATCAAATATTTGAGCCAGTCATACTCATAATTCACCCAACAACTAACGTGGCATCTCTCTTGTTCCCCCTACTTTAACTTTCGATCAATTAATTATTTAATAAAAAGAAATACAATATGGATCCTTATCGTATTTTCTTAACCACTCTACATTTGTTATGTGCCGATTAGATAAGGACTCATATTAACTAAATCTAGTTTTGCATATCTTATTATATAAAATTTGATTTTTAAAGTTACTAATTAACACGATTGTGACATATGTCAATTATATTTAAAATTATAACACGTATTAAAATATATATATTTCAAAATAAAGAGTGTTTAATTTCATTTTTACATATCCTAAATAAAAAATATTTAAGATAATTAAAAACCAAATTTTGAAAAAGTATTTTAAAAACTATTTAACAGTAAAAAAAAAAGTAAAGATTGCTGAATTGCGTTTTCCCTTTTACAAATCCTAAACAAAAAAATATTTGTAAAATTTATTTAATACCAATTTTCTTTTTCCAAATCCTAAAGAAAAGATATTATAAAAAATTATTTGATAAATTACATGATAAAAATGTTGATCCAATGTATTCCAATGATTAAACAACTAAGATCATTTCCAATTCCTCTATTTATATATTAATATAGTTTTTTATTAAAATGGAGAAATTTGTTTCAGAGTATGATTTTATAGCAGAGTTTCTCTACTTTTATAGGAAAATATAGAGATTTCACTACATTTGTCGTTAAAGTATAGAACTATATAAGAAAGTCATAAATTGAATAAATACATTTCTATAATAATTTTTCTATAAGAAAATAATAATAAATATACAGTTAGGTTGGAGACACCAACGTTAAAATGACTCTAAAACATTAGATTATGAACAAAAATAATAACATAGAAAGTTAAAACAAATATTAAATTAAGAAGATAAGAATGTGTATGATGTTGTCATAACTCTATTGGCTTGATTCAATTTTCTAATTCACTATATTTCACCAAACTCATATTTTTGTGGGGTTGGATCCAATTTTTTTTTTTTTGTGTCTAGATTTTTTTCAACCCCTAAATACAAAGTTTCTAATAACTGTGTATGCACTATAAATACTGACAAGATAAATGCTAAACCAAAATTTACGGAGGGAGGAAATATTTTTTATGAATTAAATAAGTTTCACAAAATATATGTGAAAATTCTACAATTCCAATAAAATTACTCAATTTTATATTTTAAGAAATTAAAACATCAATCAAAACCCGTATAACGTACGGATCCATACCTAATATCATAATAATATTCATGAATAAGAATAGTCGAATCAAGATAATTGAACTGTAAAAGTGCAAAAATAACTCAGAGATTATGATATTCTAGTTAACTTTTGTTTGATACAATTTTAACTTTTTATCTTTTGTTATAACAGATATTATTATATTCTAGTTAGCTTTTGTTTTACACAATTTCTAACTTTTTATCTTTTGTTATAACAAAATCGGTATAACCCGGTGGTAAAAAAAATATCCATCTCCTAAGTGCAGCTTTTTGATAGCAAACATCTAATTTTTTTTGTGTGGTTATACTATTACAAATTATGAAAACATTACATTAATGATATTACAATTGATAATTATATCTATTTTATGAGGATTTACGACTGTATCATCCTGAACTGCTATATGAATTCTATTCTTTTTGTCTTCTCCAAGAATGCTATATGAATTCTATTCTTGTCGTCTTCTCCAAGAATTGAAACCTAAAAATTGAGTAGTATAAAGTTTGAATTGCAGATCTAGATGTAAAAATCTTTAAATTTTAACAACTAGACTACAATGTTTCTACAACAAACATCCAATTTAATTTGAAAAAAAAATGCTCCTTAAACTAAATTAAAGATATTATTTAAAAAACCGCGTGAACTCCAAAGCCAATTGAATACAGCCTTTACTACAAAGATGGCCCAATCTCCAGCTGTTGCCTCACAAACCGCGGCTTCCCTTTTCACCATACGAACCTTCCTCTTAAGCCTTTGCTAGTTACTAGTAGTAGTCTACTTACTATATATACATTCTTCCATAAACCCTCTGAGCAACAAAACCACAAACGCAACACAACTACACAACCCACAAGATAAAACTAAAAAGACAATAAAGCTCTCAAAATGGCAAACAAATACTTACTTCCTCTGTTTCTCCCTCTTATAGTCATCTCTTCTGTTTCAGCTAACTTTCAAAGAGACGTTGAGATCACTTGGGGAGATGGTCGTGGACAGATCACGAACGATGGAGAGCTTCTCACTTTGTCTCTTGACAAATCATCTGGCTCTGGTTTCCAATCCAAGAACGAGTACTTGTTCGGTAAAATCGATATGTAGATGAAACTCGTCCCTGGTAACTCCGCAGGAACCGTCACAACACTCTACGTAAGTTACATAACAAACAATCTTCATTATATTACAGAACATTTTGAAGTTCTTTTTTTTTTTTTTTTTTTGTAACATAACACTTTGAAGTTCTTGTTTCTAAAATAGGTTCTTGAATTTCGTTTTGTTACAGCTGAAGTCACCTGGAACAACATGGGACGAGATTGACTTCGAGTTCTTAGGCAACCTAAGTGGAGATCCTTACACACTCCACACAAATGTATACACACAAGGCAAAGGAGACAAAGAACAGCAGTTCAAACTCTGGTTCGACCCAACAGCTGATTTCCACACTTACACCATTATATGGAACCCACAACGAATCATTTTCACAGTCGATGGAACTCCCATTAGAGAATTCAAGAACATGGAATCTATTGGCACTCTCTTTCCCAAGAACCGACCTATGAGAATGTATTCGAGTCTTTGGAACGCTGATGATTGGGCCACCAGAGGTGGTTTGGTCAAAACCGATTGGTCTAAAGCTCCTTTCANCCATTATATGGAACCCACAACGAATCATTTTCACAGTCGATGGAACTCCCATTAGAGAATTCAAGAACATGGAATCTATTGGCACTCTCTTTCCCAAGAACCGACCTATGAGAATGTATTCGAGTCTTTGGAACGCTGATGATTGGGCCACCAGAGGTGGTTTGGTCAAAACCGATTGGTCTAAAGCTCCTTTCACTGCTTCTTACCGTGGCTTCAACCAAGAAGCTTGTGTTTGGTCAAACGGCAAGTCTTCTTGTCCTAATGGCTCGGCACAGGGGACGAGTGGCTCGTGGCTGTCACAGGAGCTTGACTCAACTGCTCAAGAAAGGATGAGATGGGTGCAGAAGAACTACATGATCTACAACTATTGTACGGATACAAAGAGATTCCCTCAAGGTCTTCCAAAAGAGTGCTTAGCTGCCTAGAGAGTAAAGGAGTTGAGAGAAGTCTTTGTTGTTATAAAATTCTATTCATTTTATTGTATTATATCACAAGAAATTAATTGATTGTTTAAAAGTAATATACCCTATCTGTTACAATGTTAACCGGACCTTGTAACTGGCTCCAAGGCTCAACCAGATTCCCAAACTCGAACCAGGCTTCAAGGATCAGACTTCCAATCATAAGCTGGTCGGAATTGCTGTGGACCTTGTATAGACTGAAAGTTCATATCAGAAAACCGTGACCATCAATAAATATTACGAGCATCATCCATTAGGGTGATGAGCAATTTTGTACTTGTACGTTACAGATTTTTTAAACAGATGTAATTGTCTACTACTATTGTGACATAGAACGGAGTTGACAGAGGGAATATATAAATACTGAAAGGGCTAGTACGGTACTAGTAGTTATATTTTCAGGTATTAGCCTTTTCACTATTTATATTTTCTATTTATAATCGGTGCTTCTACATGCTGAAGGTGAATAATTCATTAATTACATTTTAACAAAAATAAGGTGAATAACTACACGTATCTCTTCTCTTCACAGTTTTCTTGTTCATAAGTTTTTAAGTTTCCTAACGCTGCTGCTTGCTTATTTTGCCACATTATATTCGTATTAGTAACCCATCTTTCCTTAGTGTTACATGTAGCCAAGTTATTACGTATATTTGACCAGGTTTTTGCATTATTATTGTCAGAACACAATGTAAACAGCTTTTGTAATGATCACAAAAAATGGAAAAGCAATTGATTCCAGACATCAGGAACTCCAGGTAAACACCAATGATTGCAATCCGCATAAGACGCCGGATTTTTCAAACTTTCATCGCTCAAAGGTTCCCAGAATTTTCGGTACACCGAGGAATGACCATCTTTACGATACTCAGACAACTGTGTGATGTTGAGGACTGAGACCTTTGGTCCCAATCTCCTCAACACTCTCTCCACCATCCTCATTGTCGGAATATCCGACCCACTCCCCCAATAACTCTCTTCCTCTATTGGCTTCTTCTCCCCGTAGCAGTTTCCCTCGCTTCCCGGGTTCCAGTCTCCGCTCCTGTGGTGATCCGTTACACAAAATTTGGGTAAAACAAATAATATTATTTGTGAAGAAAATACCTATATTATAGATTTGCTGTACCGTATATGTGTAGGAGACATTGTAACGAAGAAGACCCGCTTTGTGTTTGGATCGATATTGTTGAAAATCCAATGAGCCCACGCATTCATAGCCATTTCCATTCCCTCCGCGCCGTTCACCTCCTCGCACGATCCTTTTTCTTTGCTGCTCCATCTTTAGTTCGAAACACGCATAAATGAGTTCAAGTACCAAAACAACCTATGAATAAGAAAATGATGTAATAATACTACTTACTGGATCTTGACAGGACGTCGCCTCCACCACAGGTATGTGTTGAAGATTAAGATGTCAGCATGTTGCCACTTTGATGCATGTTTGAGAACTGAATCTGGTCGGATAATCCGTTCATCCAGCTTTCGATAGACCGGGTCATCAGAGTTGGATTCCACGAGAAATGGAGCCCACAGAAATTCAACCGTGGCATTGTAATCCTGCAGAGTGATCAATTACACCAAAACCAACACCTGACATATACAACTAGAAATTCTATAAATTAATAAACATTATAAATGACTACATTTTTTCAGTACCGAGTAATAATATTGCAAAATTTAACATAAATCAGTAAGATTTTTTTTATAGAAAATCTTGTGTAAATATAAAGCCCATTAAAATTATAAGCTAATAATTTTCATAAACTAATAATTTATATATGTAGTTTATATAAGTTCACTGAAAAAAGTTCAAGGAAAATTTTGTATTATTTTTTTTTTTATATTCACAATGAAATTTATTGCAGTTTTTCTTAATACTTCAATATATTTGATAATATGTAGTAAAATTATATTTAAAATCACATTTAAATTATATGAAACATATTTCATATACACCAAGTAGTATAATAAAAACCAACTTGTAAGTTAAACTTCTAAAATTTTAATTAATTATATATACAATAAAATCAACTAATTTCTTATTATCTGAAAATATAAATTCTAAAATAAAGATATGTAAAATGGAAACTTGTTATAAATTTATAAAATACAATAATCTCAACATTATAAATTTATAGAGTTTTTACCATAGTTTGTTTGAAGTGTTTATTATTATTACCTCAGCCTTGAAGATGGTGATGTGAGCGTTAGTAGACATGGATTGCTTGTCACGTGGGATAATAGACTGTAAGAGACAAACCATAGAAACCCACTGGTTTCTGTTTAAAGAATCTCCGACAAACATCATTCTCTTTCCCCTCAGCATCTCCCACATCTCGGTCGCATTCCACCTTTTCAAGTTGCAGGGGGGATGAGGTTGCCATCTCCAGTGTTGATACTCCAAATCAGGCCTACCATACTTCTCACACGCCAGCTGGTCACACATGTAAGGACAGTCAGATCCCTTGTGTAATGGGTATGAAGAAGAATTATCAAAGACCCATTTCCCTGAGAAGACATCACAAATGTTATCCTCTTCCTTTGGAGCAGCAGCAGCAACAAAGTCAGCAGAGCCTTGACCACTCGTGTCGTGGTCAAACCATCCGATTTTCTTGCCACTGTACTCATTCGTCGAGTTGCACTGGCTGAATCTATCCAAAACCTCTGCCATAGTTTTTATAAACACAGAATGAATTTGAAAATTTTCTTGCCCAGCAGAGAGAATTTAGTAGGAGCCAGAGGGAATTGAGTACCGAGATTATTCCGAGGAGGAAGATTGGGATGGACGGAAGATGTAAGGGTGGAAGTTTCTAGGAGATCTTGCTCGCGATTAGTGTGGTGGATGCTACACTGGTTGTAGAGAACCATAAAGGTGACGACGAGTGCGAGCATGAAGAGTAGACCCACCAGTGGAAGCCGACTCTTCTTTGTGCTCCATCTCTGCAACATTGAACTAAATGAAGAAGAAGAGGAAAAAGAAGTCAACTTCCCTGTTTGGAGCTTTTGTGGTATGTTTTATATTCAATCACTCACGGAGTCACGCAAGATGAGACTGTTGCGGGACACGAAATTCGAAGCCAACCACGTTCTTTAGTTATTTTTTTACCAAATTTAAGTCTGACTCCAATCATCCCACCCAACTTTCAGTTTTCCAAGCTATATGCTTATATATGTATATTTATTAATTTCACACATGAAAATATTTATTTATATTAGCCAGACGTTAGGCTAAGATCCACCACCTTTGTTTCCAACTAGATCTCATAAACTACAAAAGACCTTTCAAGTTGAACTAATTTGACTTACTTTTGTTGAAAGAGTGTCGCCAATTAATATGATAATTCCCATCAGAACCATGATTTTAAATATTCATCTACAATTAAGAAAGAGTAGCCTTATGTTACTCATGGAGGTTATATATTTGAATATAAATCTTTTTCATCTTGTTATGATTAGTGACCAGCTATATTAGGCTGAATGGACTTTTAATACTCATGTATTTTTATGTATCTGTCTAAACAATAGGTATTATTCATGAGTAAATCAAAATCTGTTACTCTCACTACAAGAAAACTAAACCTTTACTAGGACATTTTATTAGGAAAATTGTTCCTCGTAAAATTACTAAGCCTTTACTTCGGGTTTACGAGGAAATCAAATTTCCTTGTAAGATCCTCGTAATATTACGAGAAAACGTTTTCCTCGTAAGACCCTAGTAATTTTACGAGGAGCTTGCGAGGAAAAAGTACATTTCCTCGTAAAGCTGTAGTATTACGTTTCCTCGTAAAATCATAGTAAAGGTTTACTAGGAAATTAGGAGGAAACCGTTTTATTACTAGGAAATTAGGAGGAACTGGATAGAAAATATCGAATTTTAATAAAAAACGTGTTTTATACCTACTTTTCCTAGCAATTTCCTAGTAAATGCTCAGATTCGAAAATTTCTATAAATACCACCTTATGTGATTCATTTGAAACACACAAAAAAAAATCAGCTATAAGCTTGATCAAACACAAAAAAATGTCCAGTCCGGGAAATATTTTCGAGTTGCGGCAGTGGATGTATTCACACAGAGATAATAACGGGAGGGTGACGAAAGAATTTATGGAAGGGTTGGAGACGTTTATGCATCAAGCAGATTCTACACCACTCATGCAGAAAAGTGGTAAGATGTTATGTCCTTGTCGAAAATGCTGCAATACCAAATTAGGCCCTCGTGAAAATGTTTGGAAGCATTTAATAAATAGAGGTTTCATGCCATATTATTATATTTAGTATCAACATGGAGAAGATGCTAGTTGTAGGAATGAAGGTAGCAGTAGTAATCAGGTTGAACCGGTTGATCATTTGCGTAATGAAGGTAGCATTAGTTATAGCTATCATCACCAAGAGGAACAAATGGTAGATTGTGATAGGGTTCATGATATGGTAGGTGATGCATTTGTAACTCATGATGCTGAAGAAGTTGAAGAACCTAACTTAGATGCAAAAAAGTTTTACGAAATGTTAGAAGCTGCAAATGAGCCAATTTACAGTGATTGTAGAGAAGGTCTGTCTAAATTGTCGTTGGCTACTAGAATGATGAGTATTAAAACCGATCACAATCTACCTGAAAATTGTATGGATGCATGGGCAGAATTGTTTAAAGAGTATTTGCCAGAAGACAATGTGTCTGTTGAATCTTATTATCAGATTCAGAAATCGGTATATAGTCTTGGGTTGCCCTCGGAGATGACAGACGTTTGCATCGACAACTGCATGATTTACTGGGGAGATGATGAGAAGTTAGAAGAATGTCAATTTTTTAAGAAGCCACGATTCAAACCGCAAGGTCGAGGGCGCAATAGGGTACTGTACCAAAGGATGTGGTACCTACCAATCACAGAAAGATTGAAAAGATTGTACCAATCTGAGGAGACTGCTGGAGGGATGAGATGA